TGACAAATACTGATTAATTGTGGACAATCGAATCCCGTATGTAATTTGAAAAAAAACGCACTTAGGGGTGCTGACGTAAAAAAATTTTTTTTTTTTTTTCCAAGAGTGGACAAAAGATTATTATTCTTGGACAAATATGGACATATTGTGGACAATCTAATGCCATATAGATTTTGTCAAAATTCGCATTTAGGGGTGCCAACTTCACGCAGCTTTCTGATTCAGTATTCAAAGAGAGAACTTTCGTTTCTTTTAATACGATATTTAATATCGAAATCGAGGTACGCAGAAATGGCTGGATTTTCCTAGTAAAAATCAGATTCTGTTTGATTGCAAAGTGACGCTATTCCTTCGCGCAGATGTTGTATATCCTTAATTAAAAATGGGCAAAAATCATTAATTAATGTTTATATTGGTTATTTAGAAATCGAGTAGTTTCCTGATATTTATTTTTAAATTCAATTAATCCGTATATCGATTTTTCGTTTAATGTTATTAATGTTATCTTGTTACTAGAAACATATGGCAAATATACAAATTTATTCATTTATTGTGTAAAGCATGATTTCCCATGATTTATGTCGAAATGAATTTCCTACTTCGAATTCTTTCTGTTTAATTCTTTATTTCTTATTCTTGTTTATTACATTTATCTTCTTAGGGTGAATTCAAACTGTTTGATTAATCGACAATTAACTAATAATAAAATATTAACGGTATTTCGTTAAAAAAAAGGACAGAATTTTTGTTTAGTTTGACGCATGAAAAGAGATTAGATTAAAAACGACGAATTACATAGAAATTTAACAAAAACTTGTAAATTAATTAATCCAATTAAATTAATCAAACTTTCGTCACATTTTGTAGTCACATTTAAACTTTGTCAGTTTAATGTTAATATATCAGCTATATGGACAAAAATTGCGAATTAATGGGTATCACCTATGTTCTTGAAATATTATGAAAAATTGTTTTTTTTTTTTAAATCAATTTGAATTAATTTATTTTTTCAACATCATCTCTATCCTTGACATTCGGAATCGCGAGTAAATATCGACGTACGAGTATCGCGCGCGTGCAGAATTCCGCGATCGATGGCCATCTATCGTGCGCCGGTTCAACCTCGCGGAGATGATCGGCCGGCGAGTACTCTGTATTCCCAGCGTGGAATCTACGTCTAATTCTCTTTGCGCCTGACGTTTCGATATATTTACGAGACGTTTTCCCCGGTGATTCTCTCGAAATGCGCATCGCGCCGATCGAGCCACACGTGCCGTTGAGACAGGTCAAGTTGTCGCTTACCGCTGAGAAACGTAAAAACCGAAGCCGAACGAGCGTCGAGGACGCGAACCGATCGCCAGGAATCACTGTTTCATACTGACCAGTCATGCTGAACGCGAGCCGGCTTCAACGCGCATGTGCGCGTCGGCAAGTGCCTGGATAACAGTGACGGATCAAGATATTTCAAAGCTCTGGGGTTCGATCGTGTATCACAACTTGGTGAAAATTACAAAAATGAACGAATTTACTAAAATATTTATCATTACATTGGGCAACACCTAATTTACTCATTTTTATAGTTTTCATCAAGTTGTGTAACACACAATCGAATCCCCCTGATTAGCTTAATCGACGATCAATTTATAGTTAATCGACGTGAGTAGAATTATTAATTTTTGTTCAATATATGGAAAGAAGATAAGATTAAGGATTCTTAGGACAACTTCCGATGAATTTTGATCAGTCAACTTTTGGTTGATACATGCAAAGAAAGAAATTATCCGCTAGAAAATTTTCTATAATTTGCGCGATTCAATTTATGACAAAGTTAATAGGAATTAATATCCGATTAAGTTAATCGAAGTTTGATAGTTCGGAAAGGTCACCCTTGGGCATGATATGAATTTTGTAATTTGAAGAGACTCATGATATACATGTAAACGTCTCGTGATATTAATTACAGTGAATTCTATGATAAATCTCGGAGCCAAAGTGAAAATGTCAACGTTGAATCGTTATTGTAAATTTATTAATTTTTAATATATTTGTGCAATCAAGTCCCAAAATTAAAATTCTATCAAAATAAGATGCATATGGGAGTATCCCAATTGTAAGACACTTTATATATATGCATATGCTTTGTAATTGTTAAATTGTTACAAGGGATTTATCTATTTTCTATTAAGCTTTCCAGCAAATAAGAAAACCGAGTTTTCTGAAAAAAGTTTTTTTAAGATGAAAGAGTGAATATACTATATAATTTTATACTATAATTTTATAATAATAGTATAATATAATTAATATAATAATATAATTATATAGTATGATAAGTGTAATATGATTCTATTTTAATTGTATTATACTGAGATTTTGTTTATTATTTAGTTTCAGATAAATATGACAACCATTGACAATAACATAACACATACGTAAAACCAAATCTAGAATAAAAACAAAAATACAAATTGTTGTAATTACTTCAAAATTTATTAAAAAATTATTCGTTGAATAGATAATTTAATATTCATAACATTTGTAAAAAGGAAAAATTATTTTTTTAGTACATTAAAGTGAAGGCCTTAAAATTATTTTTCCTTTAAATTATTTGAATTATTTTTTATCTTCCATTAATCTTTTTTCAGTACATTGGTACCGTGGAAGGTGTTTAGACACGAATTGAATCAGGTTCATCCGATCAGCTCGGGGCTGCAAGCGATGGCACTTAAATCGACGATAGACTTGACATGCAACGATTATATCTCCAATTTTGAATTCGACGTATTCACAAGGTAAGCATCAAGAATTTATAGACAACTAATTAACTTCGTCGAGCTTCCGTCGAGACGACGATTCCGGGTCAATCTTGAACATCTAGAATCTACATACATTTGCATATACATATGTGTGTGTGCGTGTGCGTGTGCGTGTGTGTATGTATAAATATATGTTGTGCGACTTTCAAGGCTGTTTCAACCGTGGTCGACTCTTCTACGCAACTGGAAAATTCTGGCTGTGACGCATCCTGGCTACGTGGCTTTTCTCACCTACGACGAGGTGAAGGCCCGTTTGCAAAAGTATTGCATTACCAAGCCTGGGAGCTATGTATTTCGGTTAAGTTGCACGAGGCTGGGACAATGGGCAATCGGTTACGTCACGTCTGACGGTGATATTCTGCAAACTATACCGCACAACAAGAGTCTATGTCAAGCGTTGCTGGACGGCTACCGGGAAGGCTTGTGAGTATACCGTTTATAGTCACACACCGGCTGAATTTGTGCCGTTCACCTGTCCAGGCTCACGTCCATAAAGATTTCACGAATACATATTCAAAGATCGATTTGCAGCTACTTATACCCGGACGGCCGAAATATAAATCCAGACTTGACATGGGCGGTGCAACCGACGCCGGAGGAGCACATCAAAGTGACGGCGGAGCAGTACGAATTATACTGCGAGATGGGTAGCACATTCCAGCTGTGTAAGATCTGCGCCGAGCATGACAAGGACGTGAGGATAGAACCCTGCGGCCACCTGCTCTGTACTCCATGTCTTACAGCTTGGCAGGTAGTAGTATATAATCTCTTACGTCCTTATTGACTTCTCCGCGCGATCGATAAACGTAATAATTTAGCTCGACTCTTAGCTTTACACCCTTAGACGTGTATAACACGTTGCGATAAAAATATCTTCTCTATTACTTCGTTACGTTAGCAGAGAGGATTTTACGCGCGAGAGAGATACACGTACGGTGCGTTAATGGTTGTGCCTGATTCGGGCTTGCTTGCAGGATTCCGAGGGACAGGGCTGTCCGTTTTGCCGAGCTGAAATTAAAGGCACCGAGCAGATTGTCGTAGATCCGTTCGACCCGCGAAGAACGCATAGACCCGGGGCGCATTCGGCGTCTGCTAGTAACGCATCGACCCCCACGCGGGATCTCGACCCCGATACCGAGGTATCCGACTAGGAATAGCATCCACCTTCATTATTAAATGTGTTCTATGTATAACAACATCCCTCCCCCAAACCCCCTCTCAAC